ATTAACTCGGCAAGCGAAGTGTTTCAAAATGCTATCCAGTATGCATTGCAAGGATTGAATGAGTTAAAAACATTGTTGATGACATAATTGTTTGGGGGCGAACTCAAAAAGAACATGATGCCAATCTTCAAGCTCTATTGCAGAGACTAAAAGACACCGGATTGACTGCAAAGAAAAGTAAGTGCCTTTTCAATGCGGACAGTTTATGGTTTTATGGCATGATTCTTAGTAAGAATAGGATTAGGCCTGACTAAGAGAAAGTTGTGGCAATAAAAAATACACCTGCCCCAAACAATGTAAAAGAACTTCGTAGCTTTCTAGGACTCGTGAATTACTGTTCGAAGTTTATTCCTAATTTCTCTACCATTACGGCGCCGCTACGGAAATTTGATCGCAAAAAGGTTCCATGGACATGGGACGCTAGTCATCAAGAGGCCTTTGATCAGTTTAAATCTTCGCTATCTGAACAGTGTACGTTGGCCTATTATGACCCTAACAGATCAACGAGTGTTGTTGCGGATGCTAGTCCTGTAGGCCTAGGGGCTATTTTGGTTCAACATGACGAACAGGGCATTTTGAAAGTGATTGCTTTTGCTAGTAGAGCACTAACAGTAGTTGAACAGAGGTACTGTCAGACAGAACAAGAAGCGTTGGCATGTGTGTGGGCATGCGAGAAATTTCATTTATATTTAGTTCGTTGTCAGTTTACCTTGTATACAGATCATCAAGCGTTAGAAATCCTTTACTCAGCAAAGGCCAAACAATCTGCTCGAATACAGAGATGGGCATTGCGCCTACAGCAGTATAACTACACGGTCAAGTATCGTTCAGACACAGGGAATCCGGCAGATTTCCTTTCGCGGGCACCAATTAACGAGCCCTCGGGACAGTCTATTACCGAAGAATATATTAACTTTATAACAGAGCAAGCCATTCCCAGAACAATTACCTTGTCAGAGGTGCAAGAAGCGACAAAGAACGATAAAGAACTGCAGTCAGTTGGACGAACACTTCAGTTTGGCAACTGGAAAGACAAATCCATATCAGCTTATTTTGCAGTACGGCATGAAATAACATCAGTAAGGGGTGTACTGTTGAGAGGACACCGACTGATTATACCAATATCACTTCGAAATAGAACTCTAGCCCTGGCACGCTGGGGACACTTGGGAATTGTCAAGACCAAACAAAATTTGAGAACCAAGGTATGGTGACCTAGATTAGATAAAGAAGCAGAGCAACATGTAAAGGAGTGTTTGACGTGCCAAATATCTGGTAATCCTGAACCCCCTCCACCTCTAGCAGTTGTCTCACCTCCAATGGCACCATGGTCATGTATTCATGTTGATTTCTATGGACCAGCACCTACAGGAGAGCATCTATTGGTGATGTTAGATGAAACAACCGGATTCCCAGAAGTTGAGATTATGAATAAAACCATGTGTTTGCCCGACACGGACTGCCAGACGAGTAATTCGATCTACCATTCCGTCTTTCTCTCAGGCACCTGCCAATACAGCTACAAAAAGGGTTTTGAAAGGAAAGGCTAAGTCAAAATAATATGTAGATGCCAGAAGACGTACACGAAAGTCATCGATAAAGGAAGGAGATACAGTGTTGGTGAAACAGAAAAAGAAGAACAAGTATACAACCATGTTTCGTCCTCAACCATACAAAGTTATCAATGTGCGATATTCCAGAGTAACAGCGCAAAGGGGTGATCATGTGATTACAAGAAACGTTTCGCATTTTAAGAAATTTAATGTAGCGTATAGAGAAACTGTTCCAAATCCTGAGTCAGAAGATGATATTACCATTGCGGCCCCACAAGCAGGACAGGACAATGATCAAGACATAATTGAAGATAGGTATCCTTTAAGAGCAAACAGAGGCGTACCGCCAGATTTTTATGGACGGTAAATAACTCTGATAGTTATTTGTATACTTAGTTGTGTTATCAATCGTGGCATAGACTACAGGTTTTAGTTCACATTACCAGATTCACTTAGAATTATTTGTTGTGAGAGAAAGAGGGAGATGTTATGTTGGTGTTACATGAAGTATAGAACGTTGCATCAGGGGGTCGGGGGATTTTGGAAGTGAGCACACGTGTGTAGGTTTTAGGTTTTAGGTACGTTGAAATAAATAACGATTTTGAAGATACAACAAGGAGGAGTGAGGAGGAGTGTGGTGGTTTGTGGTGGCGCATCATCATTAACATAGACTGTGGTGGCGCATCATAATTAACATACGTCATAATTATATGCATGACGTCACGCGGGCAAGTTTGGACGAGATCGTGTGAAACTTGCTGACTAGGTATTTTCTAGCGTCCCTCCACGTGTGTGATACAATAGAGGGATTAATGTTGGTTCGAGCCCCTCACATGGCAAAATTGTTATCGAAATTAATATATAGCAGAGTTATAGCCATATCTTTGCTCGGAAAAGATAAATTTCCACAGGTATATTGAAGGATTTTCGTATGTTTACAAAATTATAGTGAGGAATCTATTCGTCACAAAAATCGAGACATATTTTAAACAGAACTAAACAGTTGCTAATCCCAAGTTAACATGGTTGTCAACGTCGTTGTTATGGTCAATATTTGCATGTTGTTCAACATTATTTAACAAACCTCCTACATACATATATACTGTTAAGACGACCGAGTCAGATCATAAGAAAGCTTATCAAGAATACTACTTGAAGGAAAAAAACTTTTAGAACAGTTGTGATACATTTTACCATAAAAATATGTTTTTATCAAATATGCGGTCGTTATATACGTTGCTATGTGTTGCCAGTCATTAGCGACGCTTGGGTGCATGCCATATATTAACGTACGACATATTTGTACACTAATGAGGCGGGCGGGTTAGACAAATCGCGCGGGCGGAAAGAGCGGGCTTTGCAGGCAAAAGTTTGCACAAGATTTCAGTTTTAAAATACATTTAAAACGTTTTACAAAATTTAGTACGGTGTACTTCTAACGTCTAGGTGTTTTTGTTATTTTTAAAGAGTTCTCATATTCTTGTCTATCTTTTGGGGATAACTTTGCTACTTGCTCGGGTTTCATTGGAATATATTTTGGTTTATCGCTCAATATAAAACGTTCATAATCCTCTCTCGCTTCCGGAGTCATTCGTGCTAGGTCACGTTCGGTCCAATCTGCTGGATCGACCCAATTGTGGAAAAAGTTGCCCTTGAGTTTTGGTCGTTCCTCTTCTGTTGATGGTGGCGTAAGGAAATTAGGTTTAGGAGTAGAAGGCACTTGTGGTGCTATCTCGACAGATTCATTGGGTTGTGGCATCTCTGCATGCGTTTGCGGGATACTTTCAGCAGAGGTTTCAGGAATTCCAGGAGAAGAATGAGCCATCTTATTTTTGAATGTCAGAAACCGGTTTAGCTGATCAGAATATAATTTGCTTTTTTCCACGGCGCTAAGCTGTGGCGCTTCCATGATTTCTTTCATTCTCTGTTCTGCATCATACATTGCATTTACAAGCGGTGGTTGACGGTACGATAGTTTTTGTGTAAACTTTGCAATCTCGCCGGGAAGTACGTTGGTCTTTTCTATCAAATATCCATGAGGTCGGCTCGTGGCATCTTCATAATAACTCTTGGTGACTTGAACAACACGATATATAGCCTGCGTAGCAGGCGGTATTCGCGGGCACGAGAGAATGGGAAGCTTGAAATACCGCCTGCCCAAAAACTACACATTCCGAGTTCTCCCCGGCAGCTGGGTGCCGGAGCATTCTGATTGGTAGCCTGCGTAGCAGGCGGTATCTGATTGGTCAGAATGTTGATTTTGAATTTTTGATTGACAGGAGTGCAGAATTAGAATAATTAGTGCTAATTTTAGAAGTTACTGTTGCCGTATTTATAATATAAACTATTGTTATTTTCGATTTTTCGTAATTGTACCGATATATCGAGTGATGGCATACACTAACCAAAAGATAACGAATGTATTAATTGAGAATTAAGCGTTGAATTCTTTAATCTTTATCTGGAATCGGAAATCGTTTCGTCTTGAAGAATGAACAACGAATATCAATCCAACATTTGTTGCTTGAAGATGTGATACCGTGATAAAAGTGCAGATTTGAAGATACAGGCTCGTAAATGACACTCTAAGTCGTGTTTTTGATAGCGATTGGAACAAGCCTATTACAAAGTTACGTCTGAAGGGGCCGAAGTTGTGTTCGGCGAAAGGTATGGCTAGCCTATATTTTTGTTCAGACAATTACGTAAATGATAATACACGAACTCGCTTGACTTTCAAAGCTCATAAATCGCTATAATGTTGACATCGACTAAAACTATCGCTATGAATGAGGACATATTGTTACACTGAATCGAACGTGGTATTTTTGTCTTCATAGCATTGAATGAACCGAAGATATGAAACGTCAAAGTCGTATATTTGCACTGGTGTAAATACGTGTCGGAGTTTGACAAATAATTAAAATAAATACATTACTGTAAGATGGGCGGGACCATGCGGTGGGCGGAACTCAGAATGTGTAGTTTTTGGGCAGGCGGTATTTCTAGCTTCTACCGCCTGCTACGCAGGCTACACGATATAGTGAGCATTAAGGCTGATATTTCTCATTTATTTGCCCTGATGAAATATATTTTGGACAATGACAAATTTCGATAATGACTTCCTTTCGTAAAAAGATCAGCAATACGTTTGTCTTTGCCGGATTGAGCCATAAGGTCGTCCAATACGATGATTCAATCTAGGATTCAATGATTCACTTTTTGATTCAATGATTCCATCCTGAGATTGAATCATTGAATCATAAGTTTGAATCATTGAATCATAAGATTGAATCATTGAATCATAAGATTGAATCATTGAATCATAATATTGAATCATTGAATCATAAGATTGAATCATTGAATCATAGAGTGAATCATTGAATCCTAAGAGTGAATCATTGAATCATAAGATTGAATTATTGAATCATAAGATTGAATCATTGAATCATAAGATTGAATCATAAGATTGAATCATTGAATCATAATATTGAATCATTGAATCATAAGATTGAATCATTGAATCATAAGATTGAATCATTGAATCATAGAGTGAATCAGTGAATTCTAAGATTGAATCATTGAATTCTATGATTGAATCATAGCCCGCTCTTTCCGCCCGCGCGATTTGTCTAACCCGCCCGCCTCATTAGTATACAAATATGTTGTACATATATGCATGCACCCAATCGTCGTTAATGACTGGCAACACATAGCAACGTATATAACGACCGCATATTTGATAAAAACATATTTTTATGGTAAAATGTATCACAACTGTTCTAAAAGTTTTTTCCTTCAAGTATTCTTGATAAGCTTTCTTATGATCTGACTCGGTCATCTTAACAGTATATATGTATGTAGGAGGTTTGTTAAATAATGTTGAACAACATGCAAATATTGACCATAACAACGACGTTGACAACCATGTTAACCTGGGATTAGCAACTGTTTAGTTCTGTTTAAAATATATCTCGATTAATTTTTGTGACGAATAGATTCCTCGCCATAATTTTGTAAACATTCGAAAAATCCTTCAATATACCTGTGGAAATAGATCTTTTCCGAGCGAACGATGGAAGCGTGCTCGTGTTACGCCAATATTTAAATCCAGGGATAGAAGACAATGTGAGAACTATCGGCCTATTTCAATTTTAGCGGTGGCGAGTAAAGCCTTTGAGAAGGAAGTTTTCCGTCAGGTATATAGATACTTGTCTGAAAGCCCTCTTCTGTCAAAGTTTCAATCTGGATTTCGTCCAAAGCATTCAACTGTAGCTGCCCCCATATGGACAATGGAAAGTGAAATGGGGTCGTGTTCATAGATATCAAAAAGGCATTTGACTCTATAAACCATCGCATTTTGTTAAATAAAATGAATGAGCAATTTGGAATTTTTGGCATGGAATTAAAATAGTTTCAGTCATATATTTAACAAATAGAGAACAGCAATGTAATGTTAATGGGGAATTATCTAGTAATAAGTTTATCACCTGTGGAGTGCCCAGGGATCTATACTGGGACCACTCCTATTCCTATTATATATTAATGATTTGCCCGATTGTTTGAAATCAACTAATCTATGCATGTACGCGGATGATACTCAAATCTTTTCATCTTCCCATACGATACAAATGAACTTGTTGTAAGTTTAAATTCAGATCTTGCCCATGTCTGTAACTGGCTTAAAGAAAATAGGCTGCAGATGCATTCATCAAAATGTAAAATGATGTTTTATTGGCTCCCCGTATAATCTTAATAATATAATGTGTGAGGAACCCGTTGTGGCTAACGCAAAACCCATATTACGAACTGCTACACAAATGTGCCTAGGAGTAAAACTAGATGAAAACCTTAATTGGGATAGTCACATTCAAGGGCTCAGACCGGGCAAACCCAGGGCCCCCAAGCCTAAGAGGGCCCCTGGCCAGAATGTAGAACAAAAAACATTTGCACATGAGTCTTCTGCATGATTCCTAGTTTCAGGAATCAACTGAAGCGTATGTCAAGTGTTTCTGAGGCACTCTACCTGTTAAAATTTAAAGTTTGAAGTATTGTTCCTTGATCCTATTCCTCAGTTCAAGTAGTTCAAGTTCCTTCGGACAATTCATTTTTGTCGACTTTTCAGAACTGTTAGGTTGTTAGCAACAAGCCAACAACCTAACTAAATATATCGTATTTATTGTATTTTTATGATTGATGACAAAAGTACGCAAATATTTATTGTTTTTATCATAAATCGTAAAAATACAATAAATATAATGTATTTAGTTAGGTTGCTGTGGTGGCGAACAAACGTTTCGTGAAAATATCCCCCCCCCCCTGTCATGTAGCCACGAGACGTTTTCGCGAAGATTGCGCTTGACTTTCAAATGATTTGTTTTTATTTTGAACCTATTAAATGGGTAACTATACGGGATTTTCTCTGTGTATTCAGAATAGAAACAATGTGTAAAAAGCAAGCAAACCAGTCAGCTTCAAATAATTGCCTAATTTGCAAGTGTTCATTTTCAACTAAATTCGAAACAGGCAAATTAGGACGAATTTCAACAGAAAACCTGTTCCTGCAAACTTCAAATCATGAGGGAAGTCGTGGAACCACATATTAGCATTGATGTGCTTCTGTCGCCATTGGCATTGTCTAAATAAATACTAATAAGTTGTCTTACTCATCAATTAGAGTCCAGATCGTACGTTTCAAACGGCAGTTACCTTCTTCTGTTTCGCCCTCTAATAATAATAATTTACAATTTATATTGCGCTAATTAATAATAATAATAATAATAATTATATTTATTCAGGATACCCACATCACTTACGTGTTTTTCAGTGGGGTCCTGCATCAAAATTACAATTATTTACAATATTAATTATTGTCAATATTTAAATTGTACAAAAATATACAAATATATACATGCACTTACAACGATGATAATTAGACCATTAATTTATAATTCATAAAAATGAAATTTAATTTAGTCAGTAAGCATGCAACGTGCCTCAAATGATAGGAAAGAATCAATCGATAGAGAATCGGAAGTTATGATAATAATGCTCAAAATTAAATAAAGCGTAGAGACACGGTGCATACCCGAACTAAACTGTACACATATATTTAAAATATATCAAGCATGCAATAACTGTGTCTAAGTACGAAGAAGATTTAATTGAGTCTTAAATTGAGACAGAGAACTAACGTTTGCAACTGAGCTGTTCAAATTGTTGAAGTCCATCGAAGCGTAGTAAGTCGGTGTAAGTTTACCCCAGTTCCGGTGTTGGCTTTTGGAAGATGAAGGTTGTTGCAGGATCTTGTGTTGTAGGAATGAATACAGTTGTTAGTTGTTAGTTTAAAGTCAAAATCGAACAGTCCATTAGTACATTTGTAGATGAAGATACAGCGTTGTTTAAATCTGCGGGAGGAGAGAGGTAACCAATGAAGGGTAGCGAGGGCTTCGGTCGCTGAAGAGAGAGGAGGAAGATCTAGAATCAATTTAGCGGCTTTATTTTCCAAAGTCAGTAAACCGTTCATGAGTCCAGTGTTGTTCTTGTCACCCCAAATAATGTCTGCGTAGTCGAATAACGGTAGAATTGTAGCTGTATAGAAAATTAATCTTGCATTTAACGGTAGTAATGATTTGACTCGGCGTAATATTCCAAGTCTTTGATTGATCTTGCTCATCAAGTTCTCGATATATTCATTTCAAGAGAGATTTTCACTGATCGTGATACCCAGGTATTCCAATGCGTGATCTTGATTAATCTTTCGATCGTAGATAGTGATGTTGAGGTTAGAAATTGTTTTTAAACGTTGTCTGCCAGCAAAGATTATAAATTTCGTCTTGTCATGATTGAGTGTTAATAATAATAATAATAATAATCTGTTTAATTAATCACATTGCAGTCTCTACTGAATTACATGATTATAAGTAAATACAGTAAAAATTAAATTTACAGATAAAATTGAGTTCAAACCGTTCAATGTTCGTTCTGAATAGTCAGTTTAAATCTGTCCACAAATTATAATTGGGTCCCTGAATTAATATACACGAGTACTACTAAATCACTAATACATTAATAATTATATTTGACAGTTATAAAATTTTGAAACCGTTCTGTGTTCGTTTGGAGTGACCAGCTTGATTCGGACCTAAGATTATAATTATGAGTATTTGGATGTATACGAGTTGCAACAACATCCTTAAGAGGATTTATACGACCATTGTCAAACTTCAATTTCCGAATAAATTGTTCACAGGAATTATGTCTACGCGTACTTAACTTTTTTAGACCAGTATAATTCAATGCGTCTTGATACGACATTTCGGGAAGCAAGATACGTAATGCTCTTCTCTGTATCGATTCGATAAGGTCAGACTGGCCTTGGGTCAGCGTTGACCACGCAGGTGAAGCGTACTCAATTCGGGACCGAATGAAGGAGGAATATATAGTGACAAGGTCTTTATCGCTTAACCCAGCCTTTTTTAACTTCCGCAATGCATAGAGTCTAGAATTTGCTTTTTTAATCACATAGTCGACATGATCACACCAAGATAGATCCTCTCTCAGTAGCACACCGAGCAGTTTAAAGGAGGATACTGATTGCACTGGCGAACCATCTATATAGATCGCATTATCAAGTGGAAGGTGGTATTCTTACTGTTAAGCTTCATTCCTCTACTTGAGGCATACTGAGATACATCATTTACGAGAATAGGTAGCAAGCTAGGAGAGCAACGTGGAACAATTTCTAGTGCAGTAGCATCGTCTACAAACTTTATCCGCCCATTCCAGTCCTGTAGGAGGGAATTGACTAAAATGGCAAAGAGAAGAGGGCCAAGTTTAGTTCCTTGAGGTAGGCCACCGTTAACGGGTTTCCATGAGGAAAAGGATGGTCCGATTCGCGGGAGGTAAGGAACGACTTTATCCATCTTATAATGGCAGGACTCACTTGTAATTTTAAAAGTTCATCAATAATGACATTATGGTCGACGAGATCAAAACCTTTTTTGAAATCAGCAAAAAAGATTCTTACAGAGCAGTGGCCTTGATCTAAAGCAGCATGAATCAAGTGGAGGAGATAAACGAGTGCCTGAGTGGTTGACTTTCCCGGAAGAGCAAATTGCTTTGGGTCCAATTTAAGACCCACTTCCGACATGAGGGACTGTAGCATAAATCCTTCCATCACTTTAGATACCTGAGCTGTGAGTGATATAGGTCTTAAATCGTCCTCAATAGTCTGAGGTGGTGACACTTTTGGAATGGGAACGACGATAGAACGTTTTAGCTGATCAGGGAAGACTCCCTGGAGCACTGATGTATTGTATATGTCCATTATGATAGGGGCAAATTCAAAAGCGAAGGTTTTCAGGATCCTATTTGGGATACCGTCTGGGCCAGGAGACTTCGTCGTTTTAAGACGTCGCAACACTGAATAAACTTGCCCTATATTTACGAGTAGATGGTTGCGAACTTCTGTCTCCTGGTCATCGGTGCATTCTAACAAGGGTTTAAAATGCGAAGTAAGTCCAACAAGATATCCGTTATATGACTCAGCAAGGTCCTCAGGTGGGGTTTACTTCAGAAAGTAGTTGATGTACCCAAGATTCCCGAGAAGAGAGGCCCCCTATGGATTTAACCTCTTTCCACCATCTGGAAGGGTTTGCACTTTTCAACTTCTGCACGGAATTGGCATAGTACTTTCTACGTGCCACTTTAACATCCCGTTGAACTCTATTGCGCCAAAATCTATATGCTTGTAAATTTCTTCCGTACTTATGAAGTGATTTTTGTCGCTTACTAATGGAAGACTTAAGCGATGACGTCATCCATGGTTTATCAGATTCCCTAACACTAGTTGGTTTATTGGGGAAAAAACAATCCATCATTGCAGAAACTACCTCATTAAATCTCCGGTACTTCATGTTAGGATCAGGTATTTCGAATATCTCGGTCCAATCGGTAGATGTAATAGTCTGACCAAAATGTCTTATACTGCTATCTCTTAAATCTCTTTTACATACTCGTTTATTACACGAATTCTCCAGACGATCTTTATGGGGTTTTATTAAAATGGCATTATGGTCGCTCGAGCCAATAGGAGGAAGCTGGCTTACATCAAAAACGACTTTCTTGGCATTTGTGAGACACCAATCCAACATGGCGTTGTGACGTGTTGGGACATTAATAATTTGAGTTAAACCGGACAATCTTTTCAACCGTTTTTCATCAAATAATGTACTGACAGGGTTAAAATCCCCAGTCACAAACACGAGACCATCAGGATGCAGAGAAAGGAAGGATTCGACATTACGCTGGATATGGTTGTACAGTTCAAAGTTCTCGTTGGCGCCGGAGGAGGTGGTGTGGTAAATGACTGCAAGTAGAAGAGCGGATATAGATCTTGGTAAACGCTTAGGTCTAAGTAGTAACCATAGGGATTCAATGGCTGAATCCTCGAAATACTCGAGCCTCCTACAGTAAATTTCTTCTTTAATATAAATGGAGGTTAGGAGGTTGTGGTTCAGATAAGTGGAGAGGGATTGAAGGTCGGAGTTGAGTTTTGACTGAAGTTCTGAGATATTGTCTGCAGAATAGTATAGGAGTGTATCATCAGCATAGAGTATCGACTTGCAGTGTTTGAGGCATTCAGGTAGGTCATTAATGTAAATTAGGAAGAGAAGAGGTCCGAGAATGCTTCCCTGCGGAACACCAACAGTAACTGGTTTAGGCGTAGACATTGAATTGTTGATGGTTGTTACTTGAGTGCGATTCGATAGGTATGATGTAAACCATACAAGAACAGAGGTAGAGAATCCAATCGATTTTAATTTTTCCTGCAAGATTGAGTGATCTACCGTGTCGAATGCTTTTCGTAGGTCAATGGAAACGGCGCCCGTAATCTTTTTGTTATCGAGGTTAACGAGTACTTGTTCAGTAAAATGAGCCAGGGTGACAGTGGTGGAGAGTTTGAAGCGAAAACCGAATTGTTCAGAAGCCAATAACTTATGCTCTTGTAGATAATTGTAAATTTGAGGGTGGACTTTACGTTCTAATAATTTGCACAAAGTTGGTAGAATGGTGATGGGTCTATAGTTGTTCGATGACGTTGGATCGCCAGTTTTGTAAATGGGGGTAACTTTACCTTTCTTCCAGATGTTGGGGAATGAACCACAGCGTAGCGAGAGATTAATATAAAGATCTTTGTGAGAGTTGGTGCAATAACGCAAACGGAGTCTTTAAGCAGTTTAGCACTAATCTCATCTAGGCCAGTGGCCTTGTTAGTTCTTAATTTGCTCAGTTCCTGAAACACAATTAAATCGTCGACTTCTTCGAACTTGAATGAATGGGAACGGTAGTGGTAGACGCACGTAACTTTGGTTTGAATTGATCTTTAATTTTCTTCGCAAGTTTAGACCCTATGGACGTGAAATAGTCGTTCATGATTGTTGCTATAGATCGTGGTTCGTTCACTGGGATGTTTTCAGAAATAATGCACGAAGGTGTGGTTTTAGTTGGATTGCGGGAAGTAATTTCATTGATGGTTTTCCAAAGTTTACTAGGATTATCTTTGTTACTAGTGATGAGATTTTGGTAGTAGTTGGATTTACATATCTTAACTTGTTGGTTTATGAAATTTCTGAGTTCGCGGTAGGTATTCCAGTGGTAGTCGAAGTTAGATTTTTGGGCATGTTTTAAATGAAAATCACGTTCACGCATAAGTTCAAGAAGTTCAGAAGTCATCCATGGCGCTTTCAACATGCGGCTAAATCGAGGAATGCACATTTGCCCGACGCCATCTTGAATTCCGCGCAATGACCTGGGTCTCAGTTATGATGTCATAGTATCAACCATGAATGATGTAATCAAAACAAACGTATTCGCGGGAAAATTAAAATAGTGGATTTTGATTGGATAATTGTCGCTCGCTCATTGCCACTTTATAAATAGTCTATTAAAAATGGTCATAATAAAGCTAGTTTACAGCAGCAAAAATTACAATAAATACACTTTTAATGCTTTTAAATAATAAATAATCATATTATAATGATTTAATATAGCTTTTGATATCATATAAAGGAAAATAAACCGGCCGAAAATACAAAATAACAACATCTCGCGTATCGACATTTTTCACAGTAATTTGTATGCATTAATCGACACTTAGTCTCTGGCACGCAAATTACTTTCGTATAGTGAGCACATAGTTGTGTGCACGGTAGATGGAAATTCCGAAAATACCCTTCGATTCCGCATGAAATTCTGTATAAACAGCCCTAGTTTTCCTTTTTCATTGAAAAACTGAACGGAGATATTCGCCCTTTAATACTCTAAAACTCAAGTCTTTATCCTACTATAGGAATTTGTGTACACAGTAGATGGGAAATCGGAGTCCGGAGAACACGATTGAATTCGCCATACAAATCGGCAACTTTTCATAGTAAATATCTCTAGTCAATTTAATAAAGAAAACGTTTTATTGCCGGTTTACCTCCCAGCTGACAATAGAAATAAACTACGGATGTAGACAAGGGATAAAGGAGCACTTTAATGGATAACCATTTTACTAATTCATTATTATCATAAGATAACCACAAATGTCCCGAGTTAATAATGATTCAAGATGGCGTCATGTAAATGTGCATTCCTCGATTTAGCCGCTAGTAAATGTGCATTCCTCGATTTAGCCGCTAGTTCCATTAAAGTCTCCGTTATCCCTTGTCTACATCCGTAGTTTATTTCTATTGTCAGCTGCATGGGAGGTAAACACGCAATAAAAAGTTTTCTTTATTAAATTGACTAGAGATATTTACTAACCGATTTTTATGGCGAATTCAATCGTGTTTTCCGATTTCCCATCTACTCGGTACACAAATTCCTATAGTAGGATAAAGACTCGAGTTTTAGAGTATTAAAGGGCGAATATTTCCGTTCAGTTTTTCAATGAAAAAGGAAAACTAGGGCTGTTTATACAGAATTTCATGCGGAATCGAAGGGTATTTTCGGAATTTCCATCTACCGTGCACACAACTATGTGCTCACTATACGAAAGTAAATTTGCGTGCCAGAGACTTAAGTGTCGATTAATGCATACAAATCACTGTGAAAAATGTCGATACGCGAGATGTTGTTATTTTGTATTTTCGGCCGGTTTATTTTCCTTTATATGATATCAAAAGCTATATTAAATCATTATAATATGATTATTTATGATTTAAAAGCATT